AGACACTGCAAACATGATGGGAGGCATAAGGTACGGCTCGCTTCACTTAATACAGCTGCTGTCATTATCGTGCCCTAACTGCTCATTATATCGTAATAAGCGCCCAATACACCCGCGTGCGTTGTACGTGTTCACGCGGAAACGGGTCGCGAACTAATGCGAACCCATTCGACGTAATTACGCTACCTGTTACGTGGAAACTCGTAGCCGGCATCAAGATCACGTCGTGCAACTTCAATTCGACTAATCGTGGAAGATGAATCCGGCGTCGATAATACCGTAGGGACTTACGTTTAGAAAGAGTAATTCGAAGATTCTATTAAATTTTATTAATTTTTTAAAGCTGTAGATCGTGGAAGATAATACTTTCGGCAGCGGCCGTTTCTCGCTTTTTAAAGGAAATGGAAAATTGATCGATGTCCCCAATACCTCTTTAATAATTTTCTATCTTTTTTGTGTTATTAACTCTCTGTCTGCAATCATATTTTCAATCTCTATCTGTAGTTTGGATCTTTTTTTGTCTAATCCAGTTTTTTTTGTCGTTCTATAGACTTTCAAAAAATGTGAGAAAATTCAAAATTACTTTTCAACATCTCTCTACATTGAGAAAAAATGTACTAAATTAATATTTATTTGAATGTACCAATTTGACATTTACTTAGAAATATTCATGAAGTAAAAAAATGATAGTTCAATTAATGATTTATGTACCAAGTAAATTTAGTAAATATATGTTTACATTAGTATATATTTTTTAAACGAATATTTAATAAAATTTAACACACATTTTTTGCTCAGTGTATTACGCAGTTTTCAGGAAAGGAAACGAACTTCGTTTTTCTTTGTTTTCAAGAAATTTGAGAGTGAAATTTTGCTTATTGAAACAAACAGCCAAATTACAGACGGTGGATTAATAACGTAGCCAAATAAAAATTAAGATTTTTTTATTTTTTTACCTATTACAGTTGTAGTGTTTACGATGAATTTGAGAGTTAGCATTAATTTTGTTTTTATAATTTAAGCTTGATTGCGAACTAAATGCTTTGTACTGTACGACCCATTTACAGGAAACATTAACATTATCTCAATTAAATATTTAGCGAATGAATGCACCGCCCGAAACTGGCTTTAATCGTTGCCGCTTTAGATAATTTCTATGTCGTTTACAGGACCATATAAAATTATTTCATGCTGGTGAAAGGTGAAAGTACGCACGTGGAAGTTGAAAAAATTTTTTAATAAAACCTATAAGCTTGGCGGTGCGTCAAATCGCAATAATATTGCGAAACAAACTGAGGATCGATATCGTTTTATGAAAAATAAAACTGAAGCTTCGTACTTTTCATATGGAAAATTCTAACTGTATATCACACACACATTACAGAAAAACAAAATTTAATCCTCGAATATTATTGAATGATACAGTATTGCTATCGATATGTAAATTTTACGTATATATAAAGAAATAAATTATTTTTAATTAATGTAACATACTTTTAATGATCTAATTTTTATAATCTATAGATTTTTATAAATACAAATATTTATTAACTTTAAAAGAAAGAACAAGTTATAAAATTCAATCTTAAAATGATATGAAGTAAATATATTTAATCCACAGTTGTGTATGTCACTTCATAACACTTAAATAAAAGATATAATAACACAAAACTGCTTAAAAATAAAAACTCAGACCTTCTGTTATAATACCGACCATTAGGGAATCCAAACTGACATATAACAGACAGAATTTTTAAAAATAAAATTGTTTGGCTTCTCACTGGTTCTAGTTTTTGATATAGCAGATTTAACTTCCTAATGACTATTAAAAACATTGTTTAGCGATTTTACTCACACCTACATAAAACTTACGTATCTATAGCACAATCTAGGATTAAATAACATAAACCGAATTTCACGATGTTGATTCTTAATATTTTATTAGCGTTGATTGCATCCCAAGAAAAACAGTGAAAAGAGAAAGAGAGGGGAGTGTGTGTTTGCGATGATGAGACGTTTTCACAGCGCGAAATACCTATCTAACTCTTCTCTCGAAGCCATTCATATTCATGGAAGTCATTAAACGCGATTTCCGAAGGTAGCTGAGTTGATGGGTACGAGATCGCACCGGTGGACTTTTCTCAGCGAGATTAGATCAACGGAACAAATATTTGAGAGCTCTCGTTGCGGCGAGACTCTGTCTTTGCGCGCTCTCTTCATCCTTCGTGCTCTCCGATATCCACTCCGCACGAAAACCCGCTCGTCCATAGAGCAAAACTTCGCCGTCTAAGTTTTCGAGTCTTAACATCGATTCGAGGGGAGTGGCTCGACTCTCGGCGCGGCCCGAGAATAAATCGCGCCGCGTTTGTGAATGCTTCATGACTTGAGGAGTTTCGTCGTCTGCTCAGTGTCTGTCAAATAAATAATCTCTTTGCGGGATTGAGACCTGTGAAATTAGCACGACATTCTATTAATATACAAAACAATTACCATTTCCATTAGCACTTATTATAATTCTGCAGTTCTATAATACGTAAAAATAATTATATTAAAAAATAAAAAATGAAAGTATATGCTAATTTCGCGAATCTGCCAGGACAGATCTTTCTCTAAAGTTGAAGTAAAGAAGTACAATGAATTATCAGTTTTACAGAGGTTTCAATTTGAAAATAAAATTCTAAGAAAATTATTAATTTTTTATATTAAACGCAGTATGACATTTGAAAATAAAATGTTGCACTGATTATTTATACCCGTGTGAAGCTGGCCCCCCAATATTAAAAAATCAATTTTTTTCTTCATTCATTCGTTTGCTCATCGTTTGCTCACGAATGCTCAGCTGGAATTTTCGTTTGTTCACCCTTAGTTTAAAAGATATATGAAAATTATGTTTTGAGGGGCCAACTTCACACTAGCCCCCCAATATTAAAAAATCGATTTTTTTCTTCATGCATTCGTTTGCTCATCGTTTGCTCACAAATCTTTTGAACTAAGGGGGAGCAAACGAAAATTCTAACTGAGCATTCGTGAGCAAACGATGAGCAAACGAATGCATGAAGAAAAAAATTGACTTTTTAATATTGGGGGGCCAGCTTCACACGGGTATTATTTATCGCAATTCTAGCGACAGTCCTAATTAGTTCTAAAATATTTCTGTGTCAAAATCATTTTTAAACAAAGTGCTGACTACACATTTTTAAATAATCTTTAAGATCTAGCACGATACTTGAACTTATATAGAACTTATACAATATTTATGCTGTACATTTCGCCAACATTTTTCTTCCTTACTCGTTTGGAAAATCAAATTTGCTAATTTTAAGACGTTATTATAAGTGTATATACATCAGTTTTAATAGTTATAGTTACATATCTATTACTAGAGTTATTGAAGATCCCCTTACATTTCGCAACTAAAAAAACATGATCTTTTATTATTATAAATAAATTTGATAAACATTAGTTTATCAATCATTAAAAATTGATTTAATTTTATAAAAAGTCATCAAAATCGTCACAACTCAAAAAGAATGATTTTTTTTTAAATCTGACTTACGATGTATACTCTTTGCTTCTTATTTCTTGTTTTTATTATTTTTTATCTCTTGTTTTTTTTTTGCTTCTTATTCTATTTCTTTGTCTTCTGTCGTTCAAGAGGAAAGTTGACGAACTTTGGAAGACACAAGAGACACGTGACAAGAAAACACAATCATTAATAAAACGAGAAGAGTAAAACAAGAAATAAAAAGAAACATCATATTATAGATTAGTCTTAAGAGTTGTGAAACAAAAATGATTATGTTAAGAAATTTTTTTACCGATATTATTTGCGATTAATTAATAATTTTCTGTCAAATTGAAAAATACAATAGTTTTCCCCTTTTGTAGAAAACTAAATTTTTGAGTTACGTTACTTTTAAAGTAACGAAGCTATATATTGTAATATGTAACGTGATGTCAAGTAAGATCAGTGCGATAAGATCTGTCCGTTTCCATTCTAACAACATTGAATATTGGATTTTAGTACTTAACGATTTAGTGGCAATAGACATTTGGAAATTCGCGGTGAGCACATTGTTGTCAGGCTCGGTAGCCTAATTAATGCAATCTGTAGACAATCCGGCTTACGTTTACCTTGTTTGGTGCTGTCGTGATACGTAAACTCGCAGCAGAGTTACCGCCCTCGAGACCCTGTCGCGTTCGATACACGTTTCGACGCTGTCAAATCGCTGTCAAATTATAATTCAATTCCAAGTTCAGATTATAGGTTACACCTCTCTCTTTTAGACACCAAGGTATCTCATGACTATCACTATCGAGGAGTTGTCAAAGTAGCAATATAAGTCTGCTGTGACAGTGATTCCACAAAATAAAAATTAAATATTAAGGAGATCCTGAGGCAAAGATCAAATTCTAACAAAAATGAAATAGAAAAAAATTAAAAATTAAATGTAAATTAATTGTAAATTAAAAATATCGGTAATAGTGATGTTTTTTAATTCAGTTTTTTACATTATCGTTCTGTCTCAAACATCTGTCCTTATCTAACATACCTATTGCATGCAGCGCTATCTCTTGCAAGATCCCAGCACCACTACTACATTGCTCTATTTATATTTATAAAACATAATTCTAAAACAATTTTGCAATTCTGTAAAGTCAATTCAAAGATGTTTTAGAATTATGAAATATCGGTAATTAGATTAACTTTAGGATCTCACTAATAATAAGAACGATATACGGATGCGATCGACGTGAATGAAGCCGTCGTGATTAACTTGGACCAATCAGTGCTACATAAATTTCGTGTAACGTGTAACGGCAAGCTAAATCTCCGAATAGGATACGATCCAAAGTGCAAACTGACTGACCAGCCTATTGTGAATTTGGTAAAGCCGACAATGGGCCATACAATTACGTTGAAAATTACGCTGCATCAGTCAATGTGCTACCAGTTAATTCCTTGAGCTAATTCGATCAATGTTGATTTGCTGTTCCAGCTGGACAGGTTCAAAGAGCCACCAGCGTTCGGGCCAATGTGTGATCTCCTTTGGTCGGATCCTCTCGAGGATTTCGGCAATGAGAAGAACGCGGAGCACTTTTCCCACAATAGCGTCAGGGGTTGTTCATACTTTTACAGGTGAGTGTCCGTTTAAACCACTTTTTAATTTTTTTTTTAACTTGTTAAATTACACGTAACACGCGTAATAGAAATTCTAACGTACGACTATGTGAATTTGGACGTGTAGGATTTTTCTTATTTCATTCAATATGTATTTATGTATAAATTTTTCATAATCTTCTGTGAATGGAATTGCATTTTTCTATAAAGTAGAAGAAAACATTGTAGTTTTATCACATGGAAAGAGAAGGTATCTAAAAGTTTGACTAAATACAGAAAATAATTTTGCTGAATTATCGTAATAATTATATAGAACTTAAACGTTAATAATAATGGATCACATTATACCTGTTTTTTTGTCTCTGAATTTTTTCAAAAGGTTAATTTTTTACTACTTGCATAAAATATATAATTAGCATGTCTAAATTAAATCGAATAATTGATAAAAGAAATTTAAGAAATATATATACAACAGCTTTTTCTTTCCAAAAATATTTTATCTATTAGTTATTATATATATATATATATATATATGCATATGTATAAACAAAATTATCTGGGTTGAAATAACGATATTTTATTAAGCTATACTGTCAATAAAAAAGGATTCAATAAAATTGGAAATATCAGAAAATTCAATTACAATACTTTTCGTCGGAGTCGTCGATATATCGGAGGGACACGTCGATACCACGGTGTTAACGTAATAATAAAGGACGTATTAGCGGAGAAAAGAAAAACGAGGTCAACACCCCATCACTGCCCGGCGATAGTTGGAGTTCTTTTTGCAATAGAAATACGATATGCTTGTGCGATACATCTCGCGGCTGTCGTCGGCCGGTTCTCGTTTTTCCTTTCTAGCCAACCCGTTAACTCCCTCCAACTGGTAATTATCTCGCCATCTGTTTGCGAGCAGTGCAACCGAAAGCGCGTTGGCCACATCCCTCGCACGATCACACAGCGTGAAACGAGGTAACTTTGGCTCCTCCGGCCGTTCTATGCCTCAGAGATTTTCCTCCTCTGCTAAATCTTTCTACGAACGTCACGTTCGGTCTCTCGTCGCGACGCCCTTTGTCAGCGTCCGCGGACACATCCGCGGTTTGGTCCGTGCGAGGATTAATAACGACCGTGTTATACGACAGTGTCAGCAAACCGCAGACATGACAGCTCCTCTCACAAATCCGCTAATTATACGAACGGCCGTGCTAATGAGAACCGAGATTCGTTAAATGTTAACCATTTCGCGTGCTTGTTGCTGCCCATTTGTTCATCACGTTCGCGTATGGGCCATATATGTGTGTGTGTGTGTGTTCGACGAAGCAAACTGTAATAGATTAAATTCTGGAAAAAAAATTTATATTTCTCCGCGATCTCTTATGCGATCTTCAGTAACAAATCAATATTAAACATCTTTATTATTACTCCTGATATTGATTCGATTGTTAATTGTTATCTTATTTCTCGGTAATTACAATCTGATATCAATTTCCGCTCTGTTGAAGTTTGAAAACGAACAAACCAGAAGATTTTCAGAAAAAATCTCGCATTTTCTGGCACGTGGAAAAGGCTTTAAAAAAAATAAGGTTGTCGTAAATGTATACGAATGTCGAGAGATGCCAAATTACACATTTTTAATATTATAAATAATTCCATCTTTAAACTGTTTAACTATTGTAGTATACTTGACATGGCGCCTCTTGACAGCTCTTTTAAAATGTGGAATTAATTATAGCGCGTAAATAACAAAGTATTTTATTAAGATATTTTTTCTACTATACTTTTCATTAGTACTTACTAAAAATATGTTAAACTTTATCGAGTCTAATTTTTAATTTAAACTTTTTCATATTTTTTAATAATTGTATTTTTATCAAACTGCTTTGTATTTTATTTTATGTTGACGCGGTATGTTACATCAGCAAGGAAATATGCACGTAAAGGACGATTTTGCTGAAGTATTCAAAAATATAACTAGATACAAAAATAACTATGTTCACTTATTAAAATAATTATGTAGCAAGCTCAAACATGGCAAACAATGTTGCAAACAGATTTTAACAATCAGTTTACACGTCCTATATAATTTGAAAGACCAGCAAAATTATTTTTAGATCTGTATCTTTTACATAATTAAGTTCTTAGATACTTTAGCGAAGCCGACCGTGTACGTGTCGGTATTTCTCGAGTAGCAGCAGCAGGAATGTTAGAAAGCTGATTTATTGAGGTGATTTTCATAATTAAGTTGTTCATTGATATATACGTGAATGTGGCGATCGCGATCACGATAAGATAATACTGGCCGTTATGAAGACGTTCTAGATAGTGCCGGTCCGTTAATTCCTCATTTTCGATTCTCGCATTATCGTGTCTCGTTCCGGGATAGATACGTGCATTAAGTTTCACGCGAACATAAATCACATCTCGCGTCTCGAGCAGTATGCAAGTAGTCCGGCTGTAATCGCCAGCGGTCGTCCGACTATACCGCGACTCGTATCACTCGCCCTTCCTTCCCCGCCAACGTCTGACTCGTAATGAAGCTGCTGATTACTCCCTTTAATGACCTAAAGTGGCTGTACGTTGTTATGACGAGAAAACGGAACACATCTCGCGCACTGCAATATGACGTCTTATCATTAAATAAATTATCTTGATCGTCGCACTCGAGATGTGTGCGTATCGAAGTTAAGATTCAACGACCCAGAGATCGATACCGGCCACATTGGCGAGCGGCGCGGTTTTCGAGAGATTTCACCTCGTCATTAATCTCTGTCGGCGCTATGAACGGGTCTTAATGGCCGTTAACGACCATGCCGCGACGTGGCGCAAACATTTCTCACGATTCTTGGCCGAGTCAGTTAGTGCGAAAGGGTCGCCCTGACGTTTTCGGCGGCATTATTTGTTTATGTGAACCTCTGAAAGTCGGTACGCCAATGGTGTCCGTCATCCAGTATACAATTGACAGGGATGGATGGACATTAAAAGCTACACGTCAAAACACAAAAGACTCGAATACCTCTAACTTGCATTAACAGCGAACTTAGCAGTCTAATGTCGAAGCATCGAGTAATCTCAGAAATTAACTCGACTTCAATGTTTAGAACACTCCAACAATTTTGTATAAATTCACAGAATTGTATTCACAAAAAGTTCGTACGAGACGTTCTCGACAAGTTAAGATTGATAATTTGGCGCTCGTGCAATTGTTTCCAATGCATGTGCCAAAAGCGCGTTACGACGTTAATCTAGGTCGCGATTTTAAGATACACGAATTTCCCAACATGAATATTCGCGTCGGTGGCTGCCTCACGAACGCTTATGAAACTTACACGCTTCAAAAGATATTAAGTTTTGGCTGTTTTCGGCTAACATGAAAAAAATTTTATGATGTACAAATTATATATTATATATACTAAAGAGCTTACTTAACCCAAATATTTTTACACTCCAGAGGCGAAAAAATGTAGTAAATTCATTGTTTTATACACTGTTAGATATCAAAAGAGCAATAGTAACTCAATTCCTTGAATTCAATAACATTTTGATATTTTTAACTTTTATATGTGTCGAAGTATATCAGTCCAATTTTTTTGTAAGTGTACAAAGTAATCGTGCATATTAACGTTTGAGCTTAATAAATAATAATTTAAATTTGAATCCAACTTACATTCTCTCGAGTTAAATTGTTTTAATTCCGTTGTTCAATTCAGTTCAATTAACGATATATTATATAATACCAGATAGGAACAGTAGCGACTTATAGAAATTATAAATAAAAATATCTCGAACTTTTCGTCACTCGCGTCAATCGCTCAAAAATCTCGTAGTTATACGTATTTAAATAATAATACTTTTTTGTTGCTTAGTTTCCGAGATGTCTTTTGATGTCTTATTTAACCTTTTATCAATAAATGTGATGGCGTTAGATTGTTTTTTATCGCGATTTCTCTCGTGTTTCTGACGTTTCTCCCAAGATAACAATACATCACTTAATTTTGCTTAAGTAGTCCGTTAATAATTATTAAACTATTAATTATAATCAATATGCTATACACATATAATTTTAGAACTTCAGGTTGGACGAAAAACAGACGAAACTTAATATCCTTTTGTGCGGAATTTACTCAGAAACATTTTAACGTTCTATTTAAAACGTTTAAAAGACTGGGTCATTTATCCTACCACGGCAATTTCCATGTTATTTATTAGTTCTAAATAAATTTAATAATATAAGCGAATTAACGTGCCCGCTCTTACGCTCGGATAACTCTCTTAACAGTAATTATCGGCAATCAAGCTCTCTCCCAATCTTTAAGCGATCGATCGATAATGTCTGCTTGCAGTTACGCGGCGTGTTGCGACTTTCTGCAAAACAACAATTTGCTCAGCATCATAAGGGCGCACGAGGCTCAAGACGCCGGATATCGCATGTACCGAAAGTCTCAAACGACGGGCTTCCCGTCGCTCATCACCATCTTTAGCGCGCCCAACTATCTCGACGTGTATAACAACAAGGTAAAAGCCAATAGCGGACGAATCGCATCGCGCCAATCGCAGTGACCGTAAACTCCGACATTAATTTAATGTCGCACATTTATGGTCAGTGCGGGGTGCGCGTTGTTCATTTTATGACCTGTGGACCGCTGGTCTACAATCGTAAAGACCCAATGTGCTCGTTGTGCTCGCAGGCAGCGGTTTTAAAGTACGAGAACAACGTGATGAATATCAGGCAGTTCAATTGCTCGCCACACCCATACTGGTTGCCCAATTTCATGGACGTTTTCACATGGTCCCTACCGTTTGTTGGTGAGAAAGGTAAGTCATACTAAACCAACAAGACGTTTGTTTATATCAAAAATTATTATAATACTGTAAACAAGTAATTATGTAAAATTAAATTATATAAATAATATGTATAATAAATGTTACACAATTTATAATGGATAAATATATAAAATTGTTTGTTTTCTTATAAAAATTAATACTTTTACTAATTTTACTTTTGGTTCTAATTATGTAAATATATCTTTATATTAGACAAAAACAATAATATATTTTATAGTTTCTGCACTTTCAATGTACAATTTTTATATTATTTATCAATAATATAGCTTAAGAAAAATTGTAATTTATTGACAAATTAATACGTAAATGTTTATATGAATTTGAATTTAATTGTAAATTTACCTTTGCAAAAATTATTTAATTTTTATAACAAAATATATTTTTATTTTTAAGTAGACTTTGCGTGAGGTTAAATATACGAGTACGTTTAAAAAATGAGTAATTTTTCATCACTATTAAAGAGGTAGATATACATATCTGTTTACATATGCAAGCATATTTAAACACATTATAAAATAAATACTCTTTATAAAATAAAATTACTTACAATCGTCAAAATTATCAATTAGAATTGTTATATGTACATGTAAATTTTTTATAGTTTATTTTTATACGATATATTTTATCTAGTAACGAACTCTCTAATATTCACAATAAATCGATCATATTATTTAGATGGATAAGATATACATACTTGATGTGTGTATGTGTTGTGTATTTATACATCTTGATTTTTTAAATGAAATATTTGGAGACAAGTTGTTTAGTTTATTGCAAGATGTGCTTTACTCGAAATTTAATGAACGATTTTACTTTATTTTTCAGTCACAGAAATGTTGGTGAACGTGCTGAACATTTGCTCGGACGACGAGCTGATGAGCGACGGTGATGACACGCTCGAGGAAGGTAATGTCTATCATCTTAGCTCTTATTTCCCACCTTAATCCGTACACACTATTACTTTGCAGACGTTTCGAACAAGATCGGCTCTCAGACTGGTCGCTCTTATATCGTGATCAGAGCCTCTCTTATCCTTTTTACTTCGGGGCTATTCTTGAGTTTTACGGTGTCTGAGTTTTACTTGTCTAATACGAAAATCGTGCAAAGAGACACGAAACGAGTATCATCCTGTTCGTTAAATACGCGACTGAAACACCCGTTTTCATGTTAACCCTCTCGCAGGAATCAGAAAAAATGTTCGTTTATTTAGATCTAGAGATCTAAAATTACATGTAATCGCATGAAAGTAATCGTACACTCTAATTGTAAAAAATATTGGTGTGGATTTATCGCGTGATGTCTGTATAAAACCATGTATAAAAATATGTGAAAAATAAGGCCAAGAAAAAGTAAATTTGGAGGATTATGAAGAATCAAGTAATTTATTAATCTAATAATTTTCATGATATATATATATATATCATGATATATATATTATATATTATATATATATATATATAAATAAGGTGAAGCATTTAAAATAGGTTACTTAAATAACTCGCTTGTTTTTAACAATAGAAGGAAATGTAGTTATGAGCAGAACCAAAGTAGTAATATCACCTATTAAATTGACAATCAATTTAATAACTTTTGATGTTAATAAGCATCTTTATAAGAATATTAATAATCTAATAAAATCTTAAATGTCTGAATTTATTGCAAAAAATGACTGTGTATAGACACCATGTGGTTAAATTCACATCAATATTTTTAGAGTGTGAAGAATATGTGTTCTTACAATTCCTTCGATCGGGTTCTTGATTAAATCTCATCTTCGATAATTCATTTCGTTTCGAGATGCACTCAGATAGCCGTGGCGAGAGATGAAACACGGTTTCAATCTTATCCGTCACTTCGAGGACAGCTGGACGGACGAGTGCACGATAAGACGGGCCCGAGATGCCGTTAATATCTGGAATCTCTTACAAGCTCCGACACGATCTAAGAGAGACCACGTCATCTTCGTGCACCGGGGAGAATGCGTAGATTCATCCCTCATGTTCTGCCGCGTGCCGAAGCGATAGAAAAGAGTTGGACACAATCTAACGATGAAAAATGAATCGGGATTCCCCTGCCCCCGTTCAATGAATCGTCGCATTCTCCGCCAAAAAAGAAGATCGATCGTGCACGTGCGCCCGGATTGGATAACGGTGAGCGCGAATTTTGCGAAGAATTGCTCGACTGTTCATTTTCATCGCATCGATGAAAGTTGAAACATGTCGTTAATTTTTCGTTCGATCGCTTTTAATTTAACGCAATTTTGAACGAAAGCGGCGAAGCTTCAACGTGTTTTTTTTTTTTTTTTAGTTCGCCCAGCGGACAAATTTCACGCGCACGATCGATCCGCCAGTTAATTTCCATCGTCAATTTCTTCGATCGTTCGATTTCGACGGCACCTGCGAATTCTACGTATTCTAAATATTCTCACAGATATCCCTGCGATTCACATGATTAGATGTTCGCGCACCTGTCTTAAATAAAATTTACCTTCTTGAGCGGAAGTTAAGAAAAAAAAAAAAAAAATTGACGCGCGATTTTCCCGAATATTCATCGAAAGAATAGTCATAGTGTGTTGATTTGAAAAAAATATGTCTCTATCACCTCACCTCCCCCATGATCTCACTCTTGTAACTTCCAGAGACAAATCTTGAATTCTCTTTCTGTTTGCATTTTCACTCGCTGCACGGACAGATGGTAAGAAACGCCGCTCGATTCTTCTAGACGTCACACGATTAAGAGCTTCATTGATTATCATTAATTTTTTAGCTATTTTCATAGTAGTTTCTCGATGTCGAGTTTCTCTTTCTCTCTGTTTCTCTTTCTATCTCTCTTTCTCTTTCCTCCGTATTTTTCTTTCTTTATTATCGTCTTCGTTTTTCCTTTATCCGTAACATCGTGTTTGTCGGAAGGAGAAGAAAAACGTACGTTCGCGTCTATCTCTTTCTTCTCTCTTTTCTTCTTTATCTTCCGTTCTGTATGATATCCATGCGCGTGATATATATGTGTGTACATATATATAATATATATATATATATATTTACTATTTTTCTATATATTTTTTCTCTTTATCTTTGACCATCTGTTTCACTGTACTCACGATTTCTCTCATTGAGGTTCTTTTTCTTTTCTTTTTCTCTCTCTCTCTCTCTCTCTCTCTCTCTCTTTCTCTCTCCGTATCTGCTCCATATCTGCTCTTCTTGGCATTTTTATTTTCACTTCCCGATTACGTATAAACATGTATGTGTGTAATACATATTTAATGTGTCTCGACGGCACATAGCCTGGATTATTACATCTTCAACGGTAGACTTTGATTTTCTGCATCATTATAGTCATAGCATCTTCACCCTGTCTCCATACGTTTGTTCAAGATGGCACGATCCTTTTGCTTGTTTTTCAAAGCACGTATAAGTACTTCGCGAGGGTCTTGAGCTTTACGAGTTCAAAGTACTTTTTCAGCTCGAAGCTAATCGGGCTGAAAGGTCCATCATTTGCCATCTTGCGCATCGCGCGTTTATTTAATTCACGCATGCATCGCAACGATCGGGTAAGATATAATGCTATAAAATCGTCATTCCACCTCGCCTTAATTATTTTTCAACGTTAAATCGGGAATATTTTCAGATCGATATTTTTTATTTCTCATTTCGTTTTGCTCCGATCGACTCTACCACTCTGTCCGAGTTCCATAGTCAATTTCAATTTCACGTGTGTCAATTTCGTGTCCATCCCGCCCCCGCTGGCCTATTCTGTTACTTTCTTTTTCTTTCTCGTATATTTCACACATGTGTATGTATAATCACTCTGCCTCTTCGTTCCTACGTATGGAAAGCTAAAAGAAAAAGTTAGGATCTTTTCCGGCGGATGGAGCCTTGCGACCTATGATAATCGTGAGCTTTTTTTTCCCGGTCGCGATTTGTGGCGCTTTGAATAAATCGAACGTCGTCGTCGAGTCCTCGGGATTAAAGACGTATATATTTTTTACGACGTCCGAGATATCGATCTGTGTCGACTAGCTATCGCTGATTAATTTTACATTCGTCCACGTGTGCCCGAGAAGGAAACACCGGTTAATTCATTCCCGCAATTCGCGGCACGTCGAAAGGTCAGATCGATACACCGTCTAGTGTCAGCACGGACGTGCGGGACGGCCACCAGGTCTAACAAGTATCCATCCATCGGGTCCGAGTCCAAAAGCTCCGAAAGAAAGTCGAGCAGCCCCCTCACTGCTCCCACTGAAGCCGTCTCGTAGAGAACGCGCTCGCGAGAACGTTTTCCCGGCTTGTTGCGGCTAGGTCGCTCTGATCGAAAAAAAAAAAAAAAAAAAAGT